CCCCTCCCAACCCCTCCCCCTCTTTTATGTCGCCACATACCAGAGTCTTCGACCGTGGGAATTCGACAGCGACCCAGAATAAATTGCGTTTCCCAGCGGCCCGGACCGCAGGAGGCTCAAGGAGGTGGCCCGGGCTACCGAATCACTACCGCGTACAGCGGCGGGCCGAGGGGCGGGCCGAGGGGCGGGGGGAGGGCAAGCAGGTCGGCGGCGGGGCTCACCCTCGCGGCAGAGGAGCAAAGGTGGGTGGAGGTGCCGGGAGGGGGAGGGAAGGGTGCGCGCCAGCGCCAGCGGCAGCGGCGCCCTGTCACCCTGGCCCTCCCCGCCCCGCCCGCGCTGCACCGCCTGGCCCGTGGCCTGCTCCGCCAGCACCGCGTCCGCTGGCTGGCGCCCCCGTTGGCTGTCGCCCCGCTGTCGCCCTCCCCCCCTCGCCCCCGCTGCGCTCTCGCCGCGCCCGGCTCTGTTTTGTCCGGTTGGGCCCGTCGGCCCGGCTCGGCCCCTCCCCTCCCGATGGCCAGGCCGACGTGATTGGCCGGGGGAAGCGCGCGCCACCGAGGGCCAATCCAAGCGGCCGGAATAGCCGGCGCCCAGAGCAGTGCGGGAGGTGCGCCGCGGGGCCGGCCGGCCGCGCTGACCGTCCCGTGCGTGCAGGCGCCAGGCCCGAGACCCGAGACTCGCCAGCGCTGCTCGCCTTGCTTTTCTTCCCAACCATCTCCACATAACATAGCTTCAAAACCTTTCTCTATGTCCCCAACGGCGAATTGCGAGCGAGCAGCCTTCGCCGTACCGGGTGATTCAGAGCATTCTCTGTCCGCCCATAAGCCCATAGCCCGGACGGTATGCAATCCCGCAACACCACCGCGGCGCGAGCTCTAATTCACCCGGCACATGCCAAAATGACGTTCATCACGCGAAAAAATAATAAACTTTGCGAAAGTTTAGACGTTGGCGGCGCCCTTTCTTGTGGTGTAGGTGCGCAGGGACAGGACAGCTATTCATCGTTAGATTCATCTCGTCGATGTATATATTTTTTTGATACTCACCTGGTCACGGTCCGTGCACAGGCCATCAGGAAAACAGCAAAAGGCAGGAGGTGAGCTTCGTTCAACTTGCTCACCTCCATGTACAGGGTGTGCGTGTGCACAGGTAGCCAGGGGGTGGGGTGAGGCGAGGGGGGACCCTTATTGCACTAGGCGGCACACATAACAAGCAGGCGCAGCGCGGCCGATGATAAGCGCACCCCTGTGTTGTGCAGTGCAGGGCGGTGCAGGGGGCCTGAGCCGGACCCTGTGCTATGTGCTCTATGCACCGGCAGAGATCTCGAGGGGGAATTAGAACGGCTAAGAGCACAAGCAGGCTACAGTGTTGTTGGGGGGGGGGGGGGG